ATTGAATATTAATAAGAATAAAGGACTGGATAACATGAATATCGAATTTGTTTGAAATTAGCTATTAGCATGGTATTTATATTGCGCATTTAATCGAATTTCTAACAAATGACCAAGCAATCATTAATAATTTATCCCAAATATTCGCTCTATTTGCGGACTTCATTTCAAACTTTTTTAAAAAAATATACGTTCATTTCAAAAAATCATTTAAATGGAATTGGACTAAAATTGAACAAATGCGATACTCGAAATGAATTAATGCTTTACTTGAAACAAAGAAGCAAAATTTTTCAAAATGAAATATAATTCGGCACCGGTAGCAATGGTAAAAAAATAAACATTTCACAAGAGATGATATAAAATTAAATTAGCAAAATAATGGAATGCATGAAATAATCATTTAACCAATTTGAAACTATTAAAAAAAACGATACATATAACAAACATTTAATTAATTTCAATTTATCAAAAAAGCAAACGATAATAATCATAAAAGGATAGAATTGATAAAATCAAAACGAATAAATTTTCTTTTTTTTATTTAAATATGTTAATATTACGATTATTAAGTTTTTACATCCTATGATGAATTAATTGAATTGTTATCTGTTAGAATTATGAGAAAATTAAAAAGATTAAAGGGAAAAAGATGCAACAGAAAGTTAGTAAAAATATTTATAAATTAGCTATAAATATTCACTGATAATGAAAAAAAAAGACCAAATCTCTAGGCTATTTTTTTTTCGAAATGGCATAATTAAGCCTAAGGTAGAATTAAAATACAGTAAGAAGATAAATGATAATTGCAATGTGAATAACAAAATTTCCTTGAAATGAAAGAAAATTGAAATTAACAAACAAATGGAAATGGATTACTTCATGAATTGAACTTTTTTTTCAATTATTCTGCTAAATCTTCTAAAATTTTAAAAGAGAAAATTGTTTAGTTTGTTGAAATCGACAAAATGTAATGTTTTAAATGAAATTCTGAAATGAATATCTCTAATCTGTTGTTATCAATGTGTTTATCATAATGACAATATTTAGTACAGTTAATAAAATTGATATGAAAATTTATGTCTATAAAAAAAAAAAAAATTCATAGATTTGAATAATTGAAGGGTAATTTGAATCGTGCTAATGAATTGTAAAACTTCTCCTATAATTTCAAAAATCATTGTTTTATAGTTAGATCAAATCTTTCTTTGCCTTCTCAATTTGATTCGGAAATTCAGATTTGATGAAATGTTTTGCAATAGGTAACGATTCATTTGCTGAAATAATCTAAAATACATTAAAATATACTCATATATTAAATCTGCTGATAATCAATTAAAGTTTCCAATCGATTGATCAGAATGATACCTTGGTGATAAATATAGGAAACAAATAAAAATATAAGCAAGAGGTTAAAAAAAAAAGAAAAATAGAATTTTATTTAAAGTATACAACATTGAAATACAGTTTTTATTTTTTAATTTTAAAAATTGAAAAACAAAAAAAGTGATATAACAAAACATACCGTATTTTAATTTCTGTTTGTTTGCAACATTTAAATCAAAAAGATTGCATACTGCAAGCGATTGATTTCCAGAATTTTGTTTCAAAATTATGGTACTTGATGTATTTATTCCTAATTTCTCGTCCATTTCAGGTTTTATCGGACAATTATAGGCCAATAATGAATGTGTAGCGTCATTAGGAAAGCATTTTAATCCTGCAATACTAACTGTAAAAATCATTTATTGGTTGTATTTACAACAATCATCCTTCTGTACTTAAAGAGGATTTTAATGAATGAATTATTGAAATTCAAAATTGAACTTCTTAATATCTTTTGGCCATTTATGATTAACGATTCAAAACAAGCAGAAAGTTGACAATTACACCTGTTGAATTGGTAGTGACACATGGCATAATGTCAATATTATGCATCGTTGATTTGTTTGTTTTCAGTAATGTCTCATCATTTCCCTTAAATTCAACATTTTTGATCGTATTCATCAAAATATGATTTGTTGATATAATATCAATGATAGAAGGTGATAATGATACCAATGACTGATTATTGCTTGCTTCAGTAGCTACAGTATTAACTGAAATCGAAATTCTTTCTGGTTTAGATAATGAAGGAGGAGAGAGTGACATTATTTGTCCTGTGATATCAATAGTTGATGAAGAAATAGGTAATATCTTTGAACAATATGTTGATGATCCATTCAATGATCTAAAAGTAACTGTGACATAATCATTTGGTTAATATGAAATTTACTTTAGATAGAAATGAAAAATTCTGATATAATTAAGCTAAAATTGAGTGATATGGAAAAGAAAAAATAACGTTTGTAATTTAAAATAGTTAAAAAATAAAAAAGTAAACAAGTGACAATTTAAAATAGTTAAAAAATAAAAAAGTAAACAAGTGACAATTTAAAATAGTTAAAAATAAAAAAGTAAACAGGTGACAACTAACATATTACGCAGCTTTTTGAGCAATTCATCACCTTTCATTATCATTACTTCCCGTTCCTTCTTAGACAATCCAGTATGCTTGTAATTTAAGTGCGTAATTAATCTGCAAAGTTTGTATGGGGGCGAATATTTAAATAATGAAATTGAATTAAATTTATACTTTAGAATAGAATCAAATGTTTGATCTAAATGTTGCACCGAAATTAAAGAATCGTATTTATGCAAAAAAAAAAAAAAAATGAAGAATGTTAATTAGAAAATATGGTGCTTAAAAAAAAAAAAGATAATAAAATGATGAAATGATCTAACAAATTATTATACCGAGAACACTAAATGAAAATGAAAATAAAGGTAATGAAGAAAAAAAAGAAATCTGTTAATTAGCCCGCATTATTTATATCAAAGAGGGCATTTAAATGAAAATTATCAATGATTATCATATTGAAATAAGTTAAATTATTGAGTTAATAATGATTTTTTTTTAAAGCAATTATTATCATTACACGAAAGTATTAATTATGTAATTTTATCTGTTAACAAATCATATCATATCGTGTACTAACCATTATTAATTAATAATAATATTAATAAAAAGTGAAGAGTTAAATTGAATTTCAATACAAAATGATTAAAAAATACTTGAAATGATAATTAAATAGTAATTCAATTTATTGCAAAAATATGTTTCAAAATGTATTCTCACTATTTGTTAATGAAAGCATACTTTCGTCTTTCAGCATATGAATCCAAACATCCATCAATTGTACATCGATATGGATTATTAGCTCGTTTATGTTCAATAGCATGACGTGTTAACATGCAGCGATTTTTAAATCTTAAATAATTTATTCCAGATTTGTCATATTCATTATAGCCATCAATCTTGGTACTACTGCTTTATTATTATTACTATTATTATTATTATTATTATTATTATTATTATTATTATTATTATTATTATTATTATTATTATTATTATTATTATTATTATTATTCATTATTATTATTATTATTAT